AAGTAGTGATAAGTGTTATTGTTTGTAGTGTCTGTGTTAGCAGTAGTGACTAGTAGTGTCTAGTGTTATTGTTTGAAGTGTCTCTGTGTCTCCTCACGCCGTTGCTCATCGCCGCGCGTCTTGGGCCGCTGGTCGCTGGGGGTAACCCGGGTGACGTCATCAGAGGGCGCGCGCGGCGGCGGCGCCTGCGTCACGTGACGAGTGGTGCCGGGTCGCCACTCGTCACGTGCTGCAGCGCTCGGCTCGACACCCTGCGCAGACTTCGGGGGCCGCCTCGCTCCCATTCCGCGCCCACTCTCACCCATATCGCTCCCACTCCCACCTCGCTCCCACTCTCACCCACCTCGCTCCCACTCCCGCCTCGCTCCTACTCCCGCCTCTCTCCCACTCCCATCTTGCTCCCACTCCCACCCGCCTCGCTCCCACTCCCATCTCGCTCTCACTTTCACCCACCTCGCTCCTACTCCCAACCGCCTCGCTCCCACTCTCACCCACCTCGCTCCCAATCCCACCCGCCTCTCTCCCACTCCCACCTCGCTCCCACCTTGCTCCCACCTTGCTCCCACTCCCACCCGCCTCGCTCCCACTCCCGCCTCGTTCCCACTCTCACCGGCCTCGCACCCACTATCACCGGCCTCGCACCCACTCCCACCTCGCTCCCACTATCACCCACCTCGCTCCCGCCTCGCTCCCACCTCGCTCCCACTCCCGCCTTGCTCCCACTCTCACCCACCTGGCTCCCACTCTCACTCGCTTCGCTCCCACCTCGCTCCGACTCTCACCTCGCTCCGACTCTCACCCACCTCGCTTCCACTCCAACCCGCCTCGCTCCCACTGCCACCCGCCTCGCTCCCACTCTCACCCGCCTGGTTCCCACTCTCACCCACTTTGCTGCAACCTCGCCACTCCCGCCTCGCTCCCATTATCACCCGCCGCGCTCCCACTCCGACCCGCCTCGCTCCCACCTCGCTCCTACTCCCACCCACCTCGGTACCACTCCCACCCACCTTGCTCCCACTCTCAACCGCCTCGCTCCCACTCCCAACCGCCTCGCTCCCACCTCCCTCCCACTCCCGCCTCGCTCCCACTCCCCCCGCCTTGGTCCCACTGCCCCCCGCCTCGCTCCAACCTCGCTCCCACTCTCACCCACCAGGCTCCAACTCCAACCCGCCTCACTCCCACCTCGCTCCCACTCTCAGCCGCCTCTCTCCCTCTCCCACCCGCCTCGCTCCCACCTCGTTGCCACTCTCACCCGCCTCGCTCCCATTCTCACCCACCGCGCTCCCACTCCCACCCGCCTCGCTCTCATTCTCAATTACCTCACTCCCACTCTCACTCACCTGGCTCCCACTCCCACACGCATCACTCCCTCCCACTCTTACCTGCCTCGCTCCCACTCCCACACGCCTCGCTCCCACTCCGACCCTCCTCGCTCCCACTCTGGCCTCGCTCCCACTCCCACCCGTCGCGCTCCCACTCCTGCCTCGCTCCGACTCCCGCCTCGCTCCCATCCCCGCTCCCATCCCCGCCTCGCTCCCACTCCCACCCGCCTCGCTCCCACTCCCGCCTTGCTCCCACTCCTTCCCCGCTCCCACTCCTACCTCGCTCCCACCTCGCTCCCACCCCCACCCGCCTCGCTCCCCCTCCCACCCGCCTCGCTCCCCCTCCCACCCGCCTCGCTCCCACTCCCACCCACCTCACTCCTGCCTCGCTCCCACTCCTGTCTCGCTCCGACTCCCGCCTCGCTCCGAATCTCACCCATCTCGCTCCCACTCCCACCCGCCTCGCTCCTACCTCGCTCCCACTCTCATCCGCCTCGCTCCCACTCCCGCCTCACTACCACTCCCACCACCTCTCTCACACCCGCCTCGCTCCCACTCCCGCCTCGCTCCCATTCTCCCCCGCCTCGCTCCCATTCTCCCCCACCTGGCTCCTACTCTAAAACACTTCGCTCCCACCTCGCTCCAACTCCTGCCTCGCTCCCACTCCCAACTGTCTCGCTCCCACTCCCACACGCCTCGCTCTCACCTCCCTCCCACTCTCACCCGCCTCGCTTCCACTCACACCCACCTCGCTCCCACTCCCGCCCGCCTCGCTCCTACCTCGTTCCCACTCCCACCCGCCTCGCTCCCTCTCCAACCCGCCTCGCTCCCACTCACATCTCGCTCCCACTCCCACCCCCGCATCGCTCCCATTCCCAACCCCCTCGCTCCCACTCCCACCCGACTCACTGCCACTCCCATCTCGCTCCCACTCCCACCCGCCTCGCTCCCACTCCCACCTCGCTCCCACCTCGCTCCCACCTCGCTCCCACCTCGCTCCCACTTCCAACATGCCTTGCTCACGCTCCCACTCCCGCCTCGCTCCTACCTCGCTGCCACTCTCACCCGCCTCGCTCCCATTCTCACCCGTCTCGCTCCCACCCGCCTTGCTCCCACTTTGTTCCCGCTCCCGCCTTGCTCCCACTCTCACCTGCCTCGCTGCCACTCGCATCCGCCTCGCTCGCACCTCGCTCCCACTCTCACCCACCTCGCTCCCACTCCCAACCACCTCGCTCCCACTCCCCCCCGCCTCGCTCCCACCTCACTCCCACTCTCACCTGCCTCACTCCAACTCCCACCCGCCTCGCTCTCACTCCCATCTCGCTCCCACTCCCACCCACCTCCCTCCCACTCCCACCTCGCTCCCAACTAGCTCCCTCTCCGAGCTCGCTCCCACCTCGCTCCCACTCTCACCCACCTCGCTCCCACCTCCCCACTTTCACCCGCCTCGCTCCCAATCCCACCCGCCTCTCTACCACTCCCACCTCGCTCTCACCTCGCTCCCACTCCCACCCACCTCCCTCCCACTCCCACCTCGCTCCCAACTAGCTCCCTCTCCGAGCTCGCTCCCACCTCGCTCCCACTCTCACCCACCTCGCTCCCACCTCCCCACTTTCACCCGCCTCGCTCCCACTCCCACCTCGTTCCCACCTCGCTCCCACTCCCAACCGCCTCGTTCCCACTCCCACCCGCCTCGCTCTCACTCCCGCATCACTGGCACTCTCAGCCGCCTCGCTCCCACTCCAACCCGCCTCGCTCCCACTCCAAGCCACCTCGCTCCCACTCACATCTCTGACCCACTCTCACCCGCCCCGCTCCCACTCCCGCCTCGCTCCCACTCCCACCCCCCCTTGCTCCAACTCCCACCCGCCTTGCTCCCACTCCCACCCGCCTCGCTCCCACTCCCATCTCGCTCCCACTCCCACCTCGCTCTAACCTCTCTCCCACTCCCAACTGCCTCGCTCACGCTCCCTCTCCCACCCGCCTTGCTCCCACTCCCACCCACCTCACTCCCACCTCCTTCCTCTCACCCGCCTCGTTCCCACTCTCACCCACCTGACTCCCACTTTCACCCATTTCGCTCCCACCTCTCTCCCACTCTCACCTGCCTCGCTCCCATTCGCACCCGCCTCGCTCCCACTTTGCTCCCATTCTCACCCACCTCGCTCCCACTCCCACCTCGCTCCCTCTCCCACCCGCCTCGCTCCCACTCCCACCTCGTTCCCACCTCGCTCCCACTCCCACCCGCCTCGCTCCCACTCCCGCCTCGCTCTCACTCCTACCCGACTCGCTCCCACTCCAACCTGCCTCGCTCCCACTCCAAGCCGCCTCGCTCCCACTCACATCTCGGTCCCACTCTCACCCGCCCCGCTTCCACTCCCGCCTCGCTCCCACTCCCACCCCCCCTGGCTCCCACTCCCATCTCGCTCCCACTCCCAACCGCCTCGCTCACTCTCCCACTCCCGCCTCGCTCACTCTCCCACTCCCGCCTCGCTCCCTCTCCCACCCGCCTGGCTCCCACTCCCGCTTTGCTCCCACTCCCACCCGCCTCGCTCCCACCTCGCACCCACTCCCACCCGCCTCGCTTCCACCTCCCTCCCACTTTCACCCGCCTTGTTCCCACTCCCACCTCGCTCCCTCCTCGCTCCCACTCCCACCCGCCTCATTCCCTCTCCCGACTCGCTCCCACCCGCCTCACTCCCACTTCACTCCCACTCTCACCCGCCTTGCTCCCACTTTCACCCATTTCGCTTCCACCTCACTCCCGCTCCCGCCTCTCTCCCACTCTCAACTGCCTCGCTCTTAATCGCACCCGCCTCGCTCCCACCTTGCTCCCACTCTCACCCGCATTGCTCCAATTCCCACCCACCTCTCTCCCACTCTCACCCGCCTCGCTCCCACTCGCACCCGCCTCGCTCCCACCTCGCTCCCACTCTCACGCACCTGGCTTCCACTCCCCCCCCGCCGCGCTCCCACTCCCACCCGCCTCACTCCCACCTCGCTCCCACTCCCACTCCCACCCGCCTCGCTACCACTCCCACCCGCCTCGCTCCCTCTCGCTCCCACTCTCAACCGCCTCGCTCCCACTCCCACCCGCCTCGCTCCCACCTCGCTCCCACTCCCACCCGCCTCGCTATCACTCCCACCTTGCTCCAACTCTCAACCGCCTCGCTCCCACTCACAACCGCCTCGCTCCCACCTCCCTCCCACTCCCGCCTCGGTCCCACTCCCACCCGTCTCGCTCCCACTCCCACCCACCTCGCTCCCACTCCCACCTCGCTCCCAACTAGCTCCCATTCCCACCTCGCTCCCACCTCGCTCCTACTCCCAACCGCCTCGCTCCCACCTCGCTCCCACTCTCACCCACCTCGCTCCCACTCCCACCCGCCTCGCTCCCATACCCACCCGCCTTGCTCCCACTCCCGCTTCGCTCCCACTCCCACCTCGCTCCCACTCCCACCGGCCTCGCTCTCACCTCCCTCCCACTCTCTCCCGCCTGGCTCCCACTCTCAACCGCTTCGCTCCCACTCCCTCCTCGCTTTCACTCCCACCCGCCTCGCTCCCACCTTGCTGCCACTCTCACCCACCTCGCTCCCACTCCCACCTCGCTCCCACTCTCACCCAACTCGCTCCCACTCCCACCTCGCTCCCACTCCCACCCACCTCGCTCCCACCTCCCTCCCACTCTTACATGCCTCGCTCCCACTCCCACCCACCTCGCTCCCTCTCCCACATGCCTCGCTCCAACCTCCCTCCCACTCTCACATGCCTCTCTCCCACTCCCACCCGCCTCGCTCCCACTCCCACCTCGCTCCCACTCCCACCCGCCTCGCTCCCACTCCCACCCCCCAGCTCCCACTCTCAACCGCTTCGCTCCCACCTCGCTCCCACTCCCTCCTCGCTCCCGCTTCCGCCTCGCTCCCATTCTCACCCGCCTCGCCCCCACTCCCACCTCGCTCCCACTCTCACCCGCCTCGCTCCCACTCCCCCTCGCCTCGCTCGCACCTCGCTCCCGCTCCCGCGACGCTCCCACTCTCACCCGCCTGGCTCCCACTCCCACCCGCCTTGCTCCCACCTCGCTCCCACTCTCACCCGCCCCGCTCCCACTCCCACCCCCCTCGCTCCCACTCCCACCCGCCTCGTTCTCACTCCCACCCGCCTCGCTCCCACTCCCACCTCGCTCCCAACTAGCTCCCACTCCCACCCCCCTCGCTCCCACTCCCACCCGTCTCGCTCACACCTCCCGCTCACTTTCACCCGTATCGCTCTCACTCCCACCTGCCTCGCTCCCACTCCCACCCGCCTCAATCCCACCTCCCTCCCACTCTCACCCCCCTCGCTCCCACTCCCACCCGCCTCGCTCCCACCTCCTTCCCACTCCCGCCTCGCTCCCACTCTCCCCCCCCTGGCTCCCATTCTCACCCATTTCGCTCCCACCTCGTTCCAACTCCCGCCTCGTTCCAATTCCCGCCTCGCTCCCACTCCCACCCGCCTCGCTCCCACCTCCCTCCCACTCCCTCCTCGCTCCCACTCCCACCCGCCTCACTCCCACTTCCACCCCCCCCCTCGCTCCCACTCCCACCCGCCTCGCTCTCACCTCGCTCCCACTCTCCCCCGCCTCGCTCCCACTCCCACCTGCCTTGCTCCCACTCCCGCCTGCCTTGCTCCCACTGCCGCCTCGCTCCCATTCCCACCCGCCTTGCTCCCACCTCCCTCCCACTCTCACCCGCCTTGCTCCCACTCCCACCCGCCTTGCTCCCACTCCCGTCTGCCTTGCTCCCACTCCCGCCTCGCTCCCACTCCCAGCCGCCTCGCTCCCACCTCCCTCCCACTCCCGCCTCGCTCCCACTTTGACCCCCCTGGCTCACACTCTCCCCCATTTTGCTCCCACCTCGCTCCCACTCCCTCCTCGTTCTCACTCCCGTCTCGCTCCCACTCTCACCCGCCTTGTTCCAACTCCCACCTGCCTCGCTCCCACTCCCAACTTCCTCACACCCACCTCGCTCCCACTCCCGCCTCGCCCACACTCCCACCTCGCTCCCACCTCGCTCCCACTCCCACCCGCCTCGCTCCCACTCCGACCCGCCTCGCTCCCACTCTCGCCTCGCTCCCACTCCCACCCGCCTTGCTTCCACCTCGCTCCCACTCTCACCCGCCTCGCTCCCACCTCGCTGCCACTCTCACCCACCTAGCTCCCATTCTCACCCGCCTCGCTCCCACTCCCCCTCACCTCGCTCCCACCTCACTCCCGATCCCGCCTCGCTCCCACTCTCACCCGCCTGGCTCCCACTCCCACCCGGCTCGCTTCCATCTCGCTCCCACTCTCTCCCGGCGTGCTCCCACTCCCACCCCACTTGCTCCCACCTCCCTCCCACCCTCACCCACCTCGCTCCCACTCTCACACGCCTCGCTCTCACTCCCAACCACCTTGCTCCCACCTCCCTCCCACTCCCGCCTTGCTCCCACTCTGACCCGCCTCACTCCCACTCCCATCCGCCTCGCTCCCACTCCCGCCGTGCTCCCACTTCCACCCGCCTCACTCCCACCTCACTCCCCCTCTCACCCGCCTGGCTCCCACTCCCACCCACCTCGCTCCCACCCCCACTCTCACCCGCCTCGATCCCACTCCCACCCGCCTCACTACCACTCTCACCCACCTCGCTCCCACTCCCAGCCGCCTGGCTCCAACTCCCACCCGCATCACTCCCACCTCGCTCCATCTCTCACCCACCTAGCTTCCACTCCCACTCACCTCGCCCCCACCTCGACCCCACCTCGCTCCCATTCCCACCTGCCTGGCTCCCACTCCCGCTTCGCTCCCACTCCCACCTGCCTCTCTCCCACCTCGCTCCCACTCTCACCCACCTCGCTCCCACTCCCACCCGCCTTGCTCCCAACTCCCACTTTCACCCGCCTCGCTCCCATACCCACCCGCCTTGCTCCCTCTCCCGCTTCGCTCCCAATCCCACCTGCCTCGCTCTCACCTCCCTCCCACTCTCTCCCGCCTGGCTCCCACTCTCAACCGCTTCGCTCCTACCTCGCTCCCACTCCCTCCTCACTCCCACTCCCGCCTCGCTCCCATTCTCACCCGCCTCGCTCCCACTCCCACCCGCCTCGCTCCCACTCCCACCCGCCACGCTCCCACTCCCACCCACCTCGCTCCCTCTCCCACCCGCCTCGCTCCCACCTCCCTCCCACTCTCACATGCCTCGCTCCCACTCCCACCCGCCTCGCTCCCACTCCCACCTCGCTCCCACTCCCACCTCGCTCCCACTCCCACCGGCCTCGCTCCCACTGCCACCTGCCTCGCTCCCACTCCTACCCGCCAGCTCCCAGTCTCAACTGCTTCACTCCCACCTCGCTCCCACTCCCTCCTCGCTCCCACTCCCGCCTCGCTCTCATTCTCACCCGCCTCGCCCCCACTCCCACCTACCTCCCACCTCGCTCCCACTCCCAGCTCACTCCCACTTTCACCTGCCTCGCTCCCACCTCGCTCCCACTCTCACCTCACTCCCACTCTCTCCCGCCTCGCTCCCACTCCCACCCACCTCGCTCCCACTCCCACCTCGCTCCCACCTCGCTCTCACTCCCAAACGCCTTGCTCCCACTCCCTCCTCGCTCCCACTCCCACCAGCCTCGCTCCCACCTCGCTCCCACTCTCACCCGCCTCGCCCCACTCCCACCTTGCTCCCACCTCGCTCCCACTCCCACCCGCCTCGCTCCCACTCCCGCCTCGCTCCCATTCTCACCCGCCTCGCTCCCACTCCCCTCGCCTCGCTCCCCACTCTCACCCACCTCGCTCCAGCCTCGCTCCCACTCTCCACCCGCCTTGCTCCACCTCGCTCCCACTCCCACCCGCCTTGCTCCCACCTCGCTCCCACTCTCACCCGCCGCGCTCCCACTCCCACCCGCCTCGCTCTCACTCCCACCCGCCTCGCTCTAACTCCCACCTCGCTCCCACTCCCACCCAACTTGCTCCTTCTCCCACCTTGCTCCCACCTCGCTCGCACTCCCAAATGCCTTGCTCCCAAGCCCTCCTCGCTCCCACTCCCACCCGCCTCGCTCCCATATCGCTCCCACTCCCACCCGCCTCGCTCCCACTCCCAACCGCCTCGCTCCCACCTCCCTCCCACTCCCGCCTCGCTTCCACTCTCACCCCCCTGGCTCCCATTCTCACCCATTTCGCTCCCACCTCGCTCCCACTCCCGCCTCGTTCCAACTCCCGCCTCATTCCAACTCCCGGCTCGTTCCAAATCCCGCCTTGCTCCCACTCCCATCTGCCTCGCTCCCACTCCCACCCGCCTCGCTCCCACCTCCCTCCCACTCGCGCCTCGCTCCCACTCTCACCCGCCTCGCTCCCACTCCCACCCGCCTCGCTCCCACTCCCACCTCGCTCCCAACTAGCTCCCACTCCCAGCTCGCTCCCACCTTGCTCCCACTCCCAAACGCCTTGCTCCCACTCCCACCTGCCTCGCTCCCACTCCCACCCGCCTCGCTCCCACTCCCACCCTCCTCGCTCCCACTTTCACCCATTTCGCTTCCACCTCCCTCCCAATCCCGCCTGGCTCCCACTCGCACCTCGCTCCCACTCCCACCCGCCTCGCTCCCACTCCCACCTCGCTCCCACTCTCACCCGCCTCGCTCCCACTCCCACCCGCCTCGCTCCCACCTCCCTCCAAATCCCGCCTCGCTCCCACGCTCACCCCCCTGGCTCCCACTCTCACCCATTTTGCTCCCACCTCGCTCCCACTCCCGCCTCGTTCCAACTCCCGCCTCGTTCCAACTCCCGCCTTGTTCCAACTCACGCCTCGCTCCCACTCTCACCTGCCTTGCTCCCGCTCCCACCCACCTCGCTCTCACTTCCACCTGTGTCGCTCCCACTCTCACTCCCACCTGCCTATTTTCCACTCCCACTCTCACCTGCCTAGCTCCTGCTCCAACCCGCCTTGCTCCCGCTCCCACTCCCTAGCCCCCACTCCCGCCCACCCGCCTCCCTATCGCTCTCACCCACCTCGCTCCCACTCCCACCTGCCTCACTCCCACTCCGACCCTCCTCACTCGAATTCCCACTGCTTTACTCCCATCTCCACTCCAACCAGCCTCGCTCCTACTCCCACTAGCCTCGCTCCTACTCCCACCCACCTCGCTCCCACTCCCCACCCTCTTTTCTCCGAATCCCACCCGCCTTGCTCCCACTCCCACCTCACTCCCGCTCTTTCTCCCACCTGCCTCGCTCTCACTCCCACTCGTCTCACTCCCACTCGCATCGCTCTTACTCCCACTCGCATCTCTCCCACTCTCACCTGCCTTGCTCCCAATCCAACCCGCCTAGCTCCCACTTCCTGGCTCCCACTCCCGCTCACCCGCCTCGCTCCCACTCCCACCCGCATCGCTTCCACTCCCACCCGCCTTGCTCCCACCCCTACCTGCCTCGCTTCCACTCCCACTCCCACCCTCCTCGCTCCCACTCACACCCTCCTCGCTTACTACTCCCACCTGCTTCTCTCCCACTTACACTCTCACCTGCCTCGCTCCCACTCCAACACGCCTTGCTCTCACTCCCACCCTCCTCGCTCCCATTCCCACCGCTTTACTCCCACCCCCACTCCCACCAGCCTCGCTCCTACTCTCACCCACCTCGCTCCCACTCTCACCCGCCTCGAGCCAACTCCCACCCGCCTTGCTCGCACTCCCACCGCACTCCCGCTCTTTCTCCCACCCGCCTCGCTCCCACTCCCACCCGCCTCGCTCTTACTCCCACTCGCCTCTCTCCCACTCCCACTCTCACCTGTCTTGCTCCCACTCCAACCTACCTTGCTCCCGCTCCCACCTCCTGGCTCCCACTCCCGCTCACCTGCGTCGCTCCCACTCCCACCCGCATCGGTCCCACTCCCACCTGCCTCTCTCCCACTAATCCTGTCACCTGCCTCGCTCCCACTCCAGCACGCCTTGCTCTCACTCCCACCCGAGTCGCTCCCAGACCCACCCGCCTTGCTTCCACTTCCACTCCCACCCTCCTCACTCCCACTCCCACTCGCCTCGCTCCACCTCTCACTCCGACCTGCCTCTCTCAAACTCCCACTCTCACGTGCCTAGCTCCCACTCCAACCCGTCTTGCTCCCGCTCCCACTTCCTGGCCCCCACTCCCGCCCACCCGCCTCGCTCCCGCTCCCACCCGCCTCGCTCTCGC